CTCCTCTTCCTCTTCCTCCTCTTCCTCCTCCTCCTCCTCCTCCTCCTCCATTGGACCCTTCTTCTGGGGGCTGAAAGCCTAAGTTGTAGAACCAGCCTCCTAGTTTGAATCCTGGCTCTGCTGGCCACTTCTGCAGGCTACATAGCCTCCCTGAACCTCTGTTTCTTCCTCTGGAAAATGCTCACAGTCCTGGTGAGAATGAAGTGTCAGTAGGGCTAGAAGTGCTTGGAAGCTGCGGGCTTTGGCTTGCAGCGGGGTGTGGTACTATGATTGCTGTTACTCTTCCTTTCTTTTTCCTTCCCTCCCTCCCAAAGAAAGAAAACCAGGGGGTCCTGTGGGTGGGTGGGACAGACACTTTCTATGAGAGGGTGACGGGGGAGGCCTCCTGCAGGAAGGGACATTTGAAGAGAGATCTGAAAGCTAAACTAGAGAGTTCCAGGAGGAGGAGGAGGAGGAGGAGGAGGAGGGAGAGCGGATCACCTCCAACAACGGAAACAGTCTACAGAACGCTCTGAAGCAGGCAGGATCCTGCCTGAATGTTTTTAAAAGGTCCAAGTTTTCACACCGTCCAAGCTTCAAAATAGGCGAAAGGATGGACGGGGAAAGGTCTTTCTTTCCATTTACCACCCCATCCTTGAAGCAGGAGATGAACCCGTTTCCTTGGTGTCCCCTTAGAGTATTCCAGACTCACATAAGCACAGTGTCTCCGTGGGCAGTCACCCATCCTGCAGACGGTCTCCCTGGCTTTTTGAATACAAAAGATGCCCACGTTTCTGTGCTTTGCTTCTTCCTCTCCCTCTTCACCTGTGTCTTGGAGATCTCCTCGTATCCATCCCCCTCCCCCTTCCTCTGTCTCCTCCCCCTTCTTCTTTTCCTCTCCCCCTCCTCCTCCAGCCCTCCCCCTTCAGTGACAGAGGACACACCAGGACACTCAGAGATTTACTTAAGAAGCCTGTCTCCTGCTGCCGGCTGTTGAGTGTTGCTGTTGTAAACACTGCAGTCCATCATCAGATACTTGTGCAAATGTATCTGTTGGGTAAATTCCTAAGAGTGCGACAGTCGGCTGATGGTGCTCTCCTCTGTAGGGTGGGCCAGTCACACCCAGGGGTGTCTCAGAGGCCTCGCTGCCCGGAGCTGGACCAGCCTCCACGCTCATCCATCTCTGCTTAGTTTTGCCGATCTGACAGGCGACCGCGGATCTCAGTGGGTTTCATTTGCGTTTCTCTCTCCCTGGATGACATGAAGCAGCTCCATCTGCCTGAGAACCACCCGTATTTCCGTTCCTACACACTGTCCTTATCATGTGCTCACCTGTCCGAGGGTCTGCCCTGTTTCCTGTTGATTTTATCCATTAGGGAAATTGGCCCTTTTCCATGGTCCCCTTCACAGATATCATTTCCCGATTCATCTTTGGTGTTTTGACTTTGCTTACGGTGGTCTTGTGTCTGCAGCCCTTTTTTATGTTCATTAATCAAATGCATATATTTTTTTTACGTCTCCCAGATTTGCGACCTATGGAGGAAAAGCTCCCAAGATTCCAGGATGATTCTATTCTTTAAAACGCCTCTTCAGTGCAGTTTGTTAAGAGGATGCATCCTGGTGTCCGCTGGCACAGCGGGGTGACTGCAGCTTACGATAATTTATGATGAATTCTATCAAGACCTACAGGAGCTGGGCACAGGGTCCTGGTGGCACACACCTGTGACCCCAGCGACTCAGGAGGCTGAGGCAGGAGGATTGCAAGTTCCAGGCCAGCCTCAGCAACTCAGGGGGACCCTAAGCAAATCGCAGAGACCCCCACCCCCCTCCTTCTCTCTTTTTGTTTTTGAATTTTATGGCTAATATTTCCAAGAAGGGACATGGGCTCAGCAAAGATTTTTCTGCACCCATCCACTCATCTAGTAATTGACCTTTTTTTTTTTAAAAAAAAAAACAAAAACAAAGGAAATAGAAATGGAACCCTGGCCATGGATTTGCACAGTGTCTGTGCCGCCTGCCTGGGCCTTTAATCAGCCCGGATGAGCCCATGGGGAGGGGGCCCAGGGTGGTTCCGTCAGCAGGGCCTGGGGCCGTCCTGCACGAGGTCCAAACAGCCTGTGCATTTCAGAACTGCTCAGAAGCACTAGGAAAAAGGAAGGGTAGCAAGTGGCTCTTCCTGGGGGGTTGCCACGTCTCAGAACAAAAAACAAAAAGGGCCGGGATGTGGCTCAGTGGTCAAGCACCCCTGGGTTCCATCCCTGGTACAAACAAACCAACAAAGACATGAGTAAGAGAGGAGTTCACAGGTCCCCAACACAAAGAAGGGTCTCAGGACATGGAAGTGCTCATGGCCCCGATTTGTTGGTGGCACGTGGAATGCACAGACTGAGTTATCAACTTGTACCCCAGAAACGTGTCAGTTTTAAAAATTAAAATAATGTCGAATGAAAAAAACCTTGATTCCAGCTGTTGCTCTAATTCTCTCTGCCTGTGTCCACCCCTCCACACGGGGGAGATGCTTTCCTTACGTCCAAAAGGAACCCGATGCTGTAGCATAAGAACCCACTGGTAATATGGTTCTCATCAGCAAATATTTCCTGAGCACCTACTATGTGTCTATGTGAAGGAGCTTGAAAGATCAATAAGGAAGCCAAGAAAAATCAGCCAACACCAAGAAACAACCACCATCAACATCTGGTATTTATCACAAGTTTTTTTTTTTTAAGCCTACATATGCATTTTAAAAATAAAAAGACTTATTATGTACATGGTACTTTATGATCTGATTTAAAAAAATCTATCCTGGGCCGCGTCATTCACTGCACGTGCAGATCTAGCGCTGAACGGCTCTGGCCAGGAACTGTGCGTCGCCAGATGCGTTGGACGACCTCTTGTTGACGGACAGCGAGGCTCCCCCCCCCATCCACCCTTGGGGACAGCACTGCAGGGGGCACCCTCCCCTGTCCATCTCTGTCCCCTCTTCTTGCACACAGAGTGGCTGCCCCCATTGCTCAGCTGTTTTCCAGGAAGATTTGCAATACCACCAGCAGCGCAAGGAGAGAGAGAGGTGGGGGGGGGAGGGAGGGAGAGAGAGAGAGAGAGAGAGAGAGAGAAGGGGGGGACACGAGAGGAGGACAGAAAGGAAGGAAAAAAGAGATGATGAGGGAGGTTCTTCGGGAAATTGAAGGCTTTATTTCAGGGGCCAAATCTATTCTCTGCCTGTTTTTGCACCAGGAATTGAACCCAGGGCCCCTTAACCAGGGAGCCACATCCCAGCCCTTTTTATGGTTTTTACTTTGAGTCAGGGTCTTACTAAGTGGCTTTGATCCTCCTGCCTCAGCCTCCCGAGCTGCTGGGAGGACAGGCTGCACCACTGTGCCTGCCTGGCACGTGCCGGGTTTTGTAAATAAAGTTTTATTGGAGCAGAGTCACAAACACACCATTCGCGGACGTCCGGGCTCAAGGCCTGCTTTGGCCCCACTGTGGCAGACAGGTGAGCAGCTGCCGCAGAGGCCGTGGGGTCTACCACGTTTAAAAGAGGTACCGGCATTTCACAAAACATGTTTGCTGATTCCTGTTTTACTTCATTCCCTTTAATCCGTGCTATGTTAGAATGGGAACCGTGGTGCCAACCCGGCAGGGTGCTGTGGCTTGCAGGTGAGTGTTCCCCTTACAGGTGGGATGATGTGGTGGTGGGAGCCTTCCTCCACCAGGGAGTTAATCCCTGATGGGGTTAACTGGTGGCTGCAGGAGGTGGGACGTGGCTTTGGGGTCTCTATTTTGTATCTGGCCTGTGAGTCTGTCCCTGCTTCCCGATGGTCCCGTCATGGCTCTTCCGCTGCCACACTCTTCCGCCATGAAGTCCAGCCTCACCTGCAGCCCTGGGTGGGGAGTGGAGCCGGCCACCCTTGGGCTGAGACCCCTGAAACCGTGAGTCTCTCGATCAACTCTTCCTCCTCGGCAATTGTGCTTGTTCGGTCTTCGGTCACAGCAGCGGAAGAGCCCGTGGAAACCCAGTGCCACCACGTGATCCCTGGGCTCAGAGCTGGGCCTCCCAGGCCCCTTCCCTTCCACAGGAGGCAGAGGCTGGCCTGGGCAGGTGACGGGCATGAGGCCGGTGACAGCTGTTCTCTGTTTGGGCTTTTCAGTTCCTGTCCTCAGGTTTGGGGAGTTCAGTCCTTGGCCCTGAGATTTAAAGTCCTTGGCATCTACGTCACAGGAGTCATGCCAACGCTATCAAATGACGGCTTTTCATTTTTTTTGCATCTATTAAACTTCTTAGTAAACATTGTTTCTTGTATTTCTTTGTCTTTTCTACTGGGGACGGAACTCAGGGGTGCTCTACCGTTGAGCAACACCCCAGCCCTTTATATTTTTTCATTTTGAGACAGAGTCCTGCTAAGTTGCTGAGGCTGTCCTTGAACCTGCGATCCTCCTGCCTCGGCCTCCGGAGTAGCTGGGATGATAGGCATGTGCTCTGGTGCCAGGCTGGACAACAGGGTTACTTACTCAGACTGGACAGCATTCACAACTGTTGAAGAAAAGTCAGGGAGGGTCTCAGTTGACAGACTCGGGGAGGAGTGGGCTGCGGCTGTAGCCTGTGTTGGGAGGACTGAGCCCAGGCCTGGAGGAAGAGCTACCTGCAGCGGGGGCAGAGCGGATGGGGTTCTCCACCCCAGCCCTGGTGACTTTGTAAGCTGGTGGTCTGTCCTGGGGGCTGTAGGGTGTCTAGCAGCAGCCCTGCTGGGGTTGGCAGGATCCTGGCTCTCCAAACATACCTGAGTTCTCATTCCCAGAGTCTGTGAATCTGTGACCTTAGGAGCAACAGAACAAAGCACACGGGATCCTTGGAGAGATGATTTAAATTAAGGGACGGAGAGGAGCAGACCCTTCTGGGTGATCTACGCTGGCCTGAAGGGTCCCCACGCCCTTAGAAGGGAGAAGATGGTGTGATAAGAAGATGGAAGGCTGTAGCCGTTGGGGAAGAAGCCGCCCAGGGCCCAGGGACTCAGGTGCTTCTCAAGCTGGAAAATGCAGGGATGAGAATCTTCCCTGGGGCACCCAGAAGGAAAGCAACCTGGAGACTTGTTTAGTCTTTTTCTTGGAGATAGGGATTGAACTACTCAGGGGCACTGGACCACGGAGCCCCATCCCCAGCCCTATTTTGTATTTTATTTAGAGACAGGGTCTCACTGAGTTTCTCAGGGCCTCCCTTTTGCTGAGGCCGGCTTTGAATTTGTGATCCTCCTGCCTCAGCCTCCAGAGCCGCTGGGATGACAGGCGTGCGCCACTGTGCCGGGCTGGCTTTAGTCTTTTGACCTCCAAACTCCCGACATGATAAATCTGTGCTGTTTTTAAGCTGCTAAGTCAGCGGTGATTTGTTATAGCAGCAGCAGGAAATGAAAACATCCGATCTTTATCTGCTAGATGCCCATAATACCCCACCCTTGTTGTGATGCCAAAAGTGTCTGGGCACATTGTCACATGTCCCCCTCCTTGGGGGACAAAACTGCCCCACATGGAGAGATTCCAGTAGAAGCACCAGCCACAGATGAAAGACCGCGGTGCCCAGAGTCAGGCCGCAGGGCTTCAGGTGGGTGTGCTGTCAGCCAGGCGGGGGAGCTGGGGACAGAGGCCAGCCGTCCTGTTCACTGTCACTCCTCTCTGCTCCTGTGTCCAGTGGGGCTTCACGCCTGGATGCTCCGGTGTGACCGCGCTGGCTGGGAATCCTTATTGAAAGTGACAGCCTGCCCCGCGGGGCCCAGCCGCTTAGCGCAGGATGACGGGAACTCTCCCTGGCAGCCCTTCCCCAGGGTCGGGCTCCTCTGCCTGACCCACCAATTCCCTTCTCCCGCAGGAGGACTTTCCTTCCACCCAGGCCACAAGGCCTAAGCCTCTGCTGGTTCCAAACCAGAGAAACTGACTCTGGTTAATAGAAGGAAATGGAATCTCTGATTGTTAGAATAGCAGGGCCTCTCGCTGGACGGGGAAGGCGTTTAATCAGGAAGGAAAACACTCATCTGGCTCACGTCTCATGTTCCCATCTTCTTTTAATTTTTTATTTTTTGGTACCGGGGATTGAACTCAGGGTCACTCCACCCCTGAGCCCCATCCCCGGCCCTATTCTGTATTTTATTTAGAGACAGGGTCTCCCTGAGTTGCTTAGGGCCTCGCTTGGGTGGAGGCTGGCTTTGAACTCATGATCCTCCTGCCTCAGCCTCCTGAGCTGCTGGGATGACACGGCTGCATCTTGCTTTCTTAGCTTTGGAGTTCTAGAGGAGAGAATCCTGTGGCTTGGGCTTTGCGGATCCATCGGGTGAGACCATGTCAGAGGGACTTAAGCAGGTCACACGGCCCCGACAGCAGAGCTGGGCCTCTTTCCTAACTTCCTGAGCTGCTCTGTTTTGCAACGTGGGACTGGAGTCTTTGGGGAGAGCAAGTGGTCCGATGGGAGAGCTGCTAGGACCAGGGGGCACGGAGTTCTTCGAGGCTGCGGAGACCCTCCCTCCGTTCAACACGGGCAGAGGTTTCTCTGCTGAGACTCAGGCACTGAGACTTTTTTTCTTTTTTTTTTTTTTGGTATCTAGGAACAACACAGGTCTCACCAAACAAACTTAAAATAGTTATGTTAGAGTTTGGGGGGATATAGTTATAAACCGTGGTGGAGTGGGGTTTTAAAAGGCTCCTTTATCTTTTTAAAATAGTGTTCAATTCCCACCCAAGTTCTCTGGGATCCACCAGCTGTTTGGATTTTCAATTTCTGAAAGGGGCCCCCCAGGATCCCTTTCCTGGGTCTGCTGGGGCTGGGATTGAGTGCTCCCCTTTGGGTACATCACAGCCTTCATAGGTCTCACTTAGCTTTAATTCAGCAATCAATTCATATTCATTACATAAGAAACCCCACAGAGATGCCAAGCGGACTTTT